TGAGTGATCAACAATTGACAACTAATTGAGCGGCACTTGACTATCTGATTGATCAACAATTGACAACTAATTGAGCGGCACTTGACTATCTGATTGATCAACAATTGACTATCTGATTGAGCGGCAATTGACTAACTGAGGGATTTTGATTAACTGAGCGGTCCCTTTCATTCTTCCAAGGGATAGACTATATCCACTTCCATGGGGTAGACTATATCCACTTCCAAGGGATAAACTATATCCACTTCCAAGGGATAGACTATATCCACTTCCATGGGATGACCATTTCCAACTGATTTCCTCTCCTCATCTAAATCCGCACGAACAGCCTTGTTTTCGCTTTCAACTTTTTGTGGACCCCGTGTCTATTTAATCGTTGAATTCTAAACTTTCCAAACCATTTCCGCTAAGCAAGTGGCCGTATAGTTACTTGTTTACAACACGAGGAAGAACTATTATAGTTCTACAATTTTCAAAAACTATTCACAAGGAGAATATAGTTTTTTTCATCTGACTTGTTTACTTACTAGGAGACTAGGTAGACACGTAAGGAAGAGGAGACCGTATTTTTTCGAGGATTTACATATAAACAGTTTTTCGGAATTGTTTACCCTAGAGGTAGTAACTCTGAATCATTTCCTGCGTAGAAACATCCACAAAATTTTTTTCTTCGAAGAAGAGGAGCCTACATCAATCTGACACGAGGTAGCAGAGACGATGTCAGAGCCGCAAAGTACTACCTTTGTCCGCGAGACAGCGGGCGCCGGAGGTGAGCAGGGTACTTTTACTTTATAGAAATTAGTAGTGAAGAGCATATACTTCTACTACTATCTATTACGATTACCCAACTACGAGAAATTTACACTTTGGAAAGTCCTAGGTAAACCTCACTCTTACCCAACTAGCTGCGCAGTTGGCTTAGTGGTTGAGGCGTTGGCCTGTTCACTTATCAACGTCAACAGTTACAAGTGGTAACGCGAATTATATTCCCATAGAGTGCGTAGTCGTCTTCTATACCCCTGGAGTGGGTACATTCCTTCACTCACTCAGTTATCATATTCCCCTCCGCTTTCCCCCTTTTTGTTGGACTTGCCCCCAGAATGGGTAAGCTACTACTACAACAGGTGGCAACACGAATACGATTGCGTCTCTTCCTCGCTGGTTGTTTTGGACCGTTGTCGCGTCTGTCGGAGGCGTTATCGTGCTCACCAGCGTTCTCCTGGGCGTCTACTGCAGCAAGGGAGATGATTTATGACGACCAAACTATCACTTTTAACCTCAACAAGACACGTGTGCGGCGATAGGGTCGCGCGCGAGCATAATAATCACAACAATAATATTAATGATAAAACAAGACAATCAGAATATCGTCTAATTACATCACCTGGGTTACAACTTATTATTTTTTACCTCAACAAGACATCATCTCAGCATATTTCCTATACATTTACATCACACTCAAAATGTCAATTGCATGACCTGGGTTACAACTTATTAAGACATCATCTCAACATAATTTTCTTCTTCCATGCTGCTCCCGAAGTCAGATATCATATTCATTTACATCAGGGTTACGACTTAGAGTGTTGTGCTAGAGGAGTCCAATTTGCTTAAGGACCTACCAGATCTATCATCTTATTTAGCGAAGGACCTACCATACTTCTTTCTCAGTAACAGAGAGACTACTTATTCAGTATAGAAAGAGGTCATTGCAACCATTTTCGACACCTAGGGCTTTACGAGGGCCTGGTGATCATAAGTGTCAGCATTCATGAGCACTACTGCAGCATCGCTTCTGTTAGTCCATCATTATTACACTCTTGTCGAGACCATGTAGTATTTTCAGACTGCCACTAGTGTCATTATCGTCCTAACTACTCCCTCGCCCTCCCTCTAGTCTAGCACCATTATTCTCCCACGTCTCTAATATCTGGATCGACTCCTGCCATTTCTGGGGCGCCGGCCGCTTCTACTGCTATCGGCGGGTCAAAGGATCTGAACAAGGACCGAGAAATTGGTGAGTCTCTGAAGCAAATCCTCAAAAAGGAACCCGGAGAAGCCGCCGGGAAAACCAAGGGCGAGGACAGTGAAGACGGTGGGGACAGTGAAGACGGTGAGGAGGGTGAAGACGGTGAGGAGAGTGAAGACGGTGAGGTGGGTGAAGACGGTGAAGACGGTGGGAACAGTGGTCCCGTCCCCGACAAGGGTCTTGGGAAAGGCCGCGAGGGTCGTAGGAAAGGCGGCAAGGGTCATGGGGGAGACGGCAAGGGTCGTGGGAGAGGTGGCGACCGTGGTGGTGGAGGCGGCGGCGGTGGTGGAGGCGGCGGTGGTGGAGGCGGCAACGCTGGAGGCGGTGGTGAAGATCCTCAAGATCCTAATGATGAGGTGGCCGCCACTACAAAACTTGCAGAGGCGGTTTTGAACTTCTTCGAGAAAATTCTGACACGGCCTGCTCCACCACCCTCCATCCCGTCCGAAGCCGAATCGTCTTCATCTGGTGCTTCATCGGTTGCGTCTGACCACTCTCCATCCGGTCCACCTCATCCGACAGCATTGCGCATTCTTCTGGTTGAAGGCTACTTCCGATTGTCAGGGGAAGACAAGATGCAAATCGGAAGAAAAGAGTTTGCGAAGGAGTTAAGGCTTGGAAAATCTCTTCATTATTTCTCACCAGAGTTCGAGCTAATCAGTTTGACAGTTCCGTCCCCTTCGCGAACATGCTATAATATCAAAAAGCGTCGGGACTTTGCGTCGTTCTTGGCCAGTTTTTTTTTTTTGGTTGGCATATTGCCTTCCAAAAAGTAGGAGGGCTAGGCGGTAGTCTATGAGCTGTGCTTTTGCAAGGGTGTAGTAGCCTATGACGACCCGTGCTGTTTCAATAGTCGGTTAGTCGTCGTCGCCTTCTGTTGTTTCAAGGGGAAAAAAGGGTAGATGGAGGGGATGCGAGCTCTCAATTTTTTGAATCATCAAAAATAGGCTCTCTCCTCTAATCATCAATAAGCTTGCTGCCCTTAACTTTCACCCGAACCTTAACCTCTAATCATTGAGTTACGAAGAAATAAATACGCGGCTGCCATGCAGATCACTGCGCGCGCGTTCGCTGTGGTGTACAACGATCTGCTGAACGGGCCCAAGGGTAAGACGCTGAAGGAGCGGCTGACCACGATGCTGCAATCTATGCAACCTACGGATACCTCAGCTGGGGGCCTCGAATCGGTATTTTTGTATACTAGTCACGGGCTTTACGGGAAAACATGTTGTCAGGGGATGGCACTGGCATAAGAAGTTCAGTGACAATTCTTCCTCTTCTTACAAGCCCCACGTGAGTGAGGGCACACAGCAAAAAGTGCAAGGGCCAGAGAAGGAGCTCATCTAAGACACCTCTAGTATAGGTACAAGCAACATCGTCATCAATCTCCATGGTTTGCGATCTCTCTTGGTTTTGTGCACGGATCGCTCTCCCTGCAGGCTTCCGTGACCTCTTTGTCTCTGGTCTTTGTCTTTTGCGGGTACTTGTGTCGACCGGGAAGGCATCGTGGCCTCGTTTTTGTGACTTCTTGTTTTTTCGGGTTCTTTCTGCGCTTTGCGGGTAGTACTTGTGTGACTCTTGGGTAGTCAAACAAGACTGCAGCATTACAAATCATCAGTGTTGTCCCACAGCCTGCATGATCTTACCTGAGAACCTCTCAAGGCTTAGTGTAGTTAGGCTGCAGAAGAGCTAGGCTGCAGTCTATGACTTGCTTTCCAATAGTTGAGTACAGCCGTTTGTGGCTTGAGCTGTTTCAAGGGAAAAAAGGGATAGATGGGGCTGTTAAAGGTTCATCGATGCCTGAAGCGTCGGACGAGCGTCTGTTTGACCCATCCGACTCACGTTAAAGGCTGTTGAGTGGTCAACATGTGAGAATTCTCTGTAGCATAAGCCTGGCGAACATGTGAGAATTTTCTATTTGCCTGAGTATAGATAGGTCCGTCATCAGGCTTACATAGAGAATTATCGCAACATGTTCAGCGCCACCCTTAACTTTAAAAGGCTGAGCCTGCACAGAATTGTCAAGGCAGGCCACTCGACCGCGGACAGAGGTCACCAGAGATGAGGGGCTGAGCGCTGGCCCTAGCCCTAAGCCAGCCCTAGCCCTAACTGGTGACTCTGCAATCCGTTTAGGCGTTGACAGTTGCAATTTTTATGAGTTGTTCTTGGAGTAGTTCTAGATCCAGTCAACATTCTTTCAACGAAATCATGGGCTAGGAGGGTGAGTAGCGGCTGCGCCTGCAGCAATTGCTTTCGCCAATTACAGACTTGGAAAATTAATAGATAATTGTGGCTTGTTTTGGATGAACTTGGAAAACGCAGCTGTCTTTTCTACCCCAAGAATTACTACACTGACTGATGCTACGACTAGGATGGATTGGAGGGCATCAGACCCACCCACCTGATTAGCTTGTTACAGTAGGGCTCTGAAGAGACTTTTTTACACGGAAGAGCATCTTCTAGGATGCATGATCATCACAGAGTTTCTCTAAGATCCGATACACGACATGATCAGTTTCCTAGTTTCCTATACACGACAGAATTGCCAGAGTTTCTATGTTAGATTAGTTCTAGACTGTGTAGACGTGATGGCAAGAGGACGTACACACTAGAGTTTGACGTCACGACATGAGGCTAGTAGAGTTTCACGGTACAACAAGTTGTACATTCAGACGATATAATTACCCATTCAGACGTCACAAGAGGCTAGTAGAGTTTCACGGTACAACAAGTTGTAAACCCTTTCAGACGATATAATTCGCATGTTTCCCATTCATCTTTTCAGATGATGCCGCATATAAAGATGGACAAGATGCTGGACTTGACGACCCTGTTCGGCGATCAAGAATGGGACATGTTAGAGGAGTATCGTGGTTGGTTGAAAACGTTAGAGGGGGACTACTATAAGATTGACGAGAATAGCGACGCCGAAAAGGCTCGTCTGCAGAACAACATGAAGGAATCGACCGAAAAGGCCATCAGCGTGTTGCGCCTTTCCTTATGATTGTCAGCGACCTCTTTGCGAGATTATCAAATATGATGTAGACAGATTATATAGCACCTACTTGCACGATGAAGACGTATCTGAGATCTCTCCCAAGATGCATAGCGCCATGCTTTTTGTTGCTCAGCTAATTATTTTGTCGTTTATTGTAAAGAAAATCAAATGCTTGCAATGCAAATTCTAACTGCCTAACTTATCTGAGCCTGGCCTTGTCGTAGTCCCCTCCCTATTAGGTTTGAGCACTATTCAGGCGGCCTTACCACTGGTCCCTTTAGCTTCACGTTGTTGTAGAATCTGATACGCGTACAGGCTTACACGTAATAAATCTATCTTGAATCATTGTCTTGCCCAGTACGCTTCTTGATGCCAACGTATAGCTTGAATTTGTATTGTTTGATCTTTCCGATTGATGTCACCGAATCAAGTAAGTAGCTAAAAGCGCACCCATTTTTTCTTTCAGCATAAAGTAGACCTTTCTTTCCCTATTTGTCGGGAGACTTATACCAGCCATCGTCCTCACCCTGTTCATTTGTCCTCACCCTGGACCGAGGTGAAAACGCATTATCTGCCGAACAAAAGAAGTTAGTCGAGGAGACGGCGAAGATGATGCTGGACTACGTGAGTAAAACGTTCCCGGAGAAGTTGTGGAAGCACTTTCAGGGCTTTGGGGGAGCGTGGTTGTTCGCAAATGATGGATCTTTATGAAGGCAAGCTTGCATCGAATATCATTTTTGGGTACTGGATCACATCACACGGAAAAATAGTAGTTTGAATTGAAGCAGAAAAGCACAAACCTCAAGTCAAGTGCAAAGGCTGCACATGGATAACTGTTGAGTCCGTTTCTCTCTTCTCTCTTATCCGATCCTATAAACACGACTGCGCTTATTCTTTAGGTGTATCGCACGTATTTGCCTCACATTACACGTTGTGCTATATATGATCATGTTATTATTTTTCTGATGTTGGGTTATCTCTACTTCTAGGCATGAGTGTTAGCTTAGCTCAGTACGAAGATGGATGCTAATTGCTATATTCATTTTATTTATGACTCCTTAATCTGACAGGAAAACGATATCGGCGGCGCGGCCTAGTTAGTATTAGAGACGGGAGTCCCGCTAAATCTAAATCTAAATCTAAATCGTACTTGATTTGTTTTTGATTCTGGTTTTTTCTGGTTGACGCTCTACTGGAGATATAGTCTTTACTGGGATCCCGTATGGGTACCATAATGACTTAATTGATTATGAGCAGTATGTTTTGATAGTCCACTTTTGGACTTCATCTGGGTTACTACGTAGTCGTCGCAATAAATCAATGCGAGGGCTTGCTAGTGCTATTTCCTTACTAGTTCGGGGCGGCACTCTGTGAAAGTCATTCACATATTCCCACTACTATTATTATTTATGTAATAATAACATATTATATTTATAACCTTGATTTATTACATATGGCGCTCAACCTATGTATTATAATTGAACTACCATTTCTATAATAGTAGTTCATATCAGCTGAGTTTCCTAGACAGTCTAAGATCCGTGGCCAGACGTCCCACCTCTACGTCCGCAGACGGAGCAGATGCCAGAGATGATGCTGGGCCAGGTGGGCTATCGCCGATGTCGACTGAGGATCCAGGCAGAGTTGCCGCATTGGTGCAAGACGAGGTCGCAGCTGCGGTGAATGAAGCAGTGACGGGGGAGGCTGGTGGCCCTGCAGCCACCAATTTTGCAGATGCTCTTGGGCTTGCTTCCGATACAGCAGAGTTGGCACCGCAAGGGGATGGCCAAAGCTCTGGCAATGCTGGCACTAAGGCTTTGGAGGAGATTATTGCGTTGTACAAGAATGTTGCTGACGCAAGGTTCGAACAGATCAAGCTGTTGTTCAATGGTCTCATCAAGTATTTTATGCGTCACGGTGGCAACAAACAGTATGATGGGAACATGGAGAAGCTCTTTGAGGCATGCAAGAAGGAGGAGGAGTTTCCCGCGGCCGCGCCGGACTCAGACGACGCAAAGAAGCTTCCCGAGTCTGCAAAAGAGCTTTGCGAGGCCATGGATGGCGCCAAGAATGAGGAATTGCAATTGCTGAGCGTACTATTATATCAGTCTATCATTCTACATCTGGGTCACAACCTAATACTCTATTTAAATACCCTTTACCTAACCTTACCTTTTTTTCCTAGTTAGCTTGGCTCCACCCGTATAATTAGATGTGTTGTCGAGTCGTGGGGCTTGATAGGTGTACAGGCCAACGCCTGAAGGACTAAGCCAGCGGACCTGTACACCTATCAGAGCTAACGCCATCTGGTGTGGAAGTGTTTGCGTCGCCTCGTCGATCCTCGGCAAAGTCACCTACGCACGTCACCCAAAGTGTGCACTTTTAACATCATCTTGAATCTTCAATGCTAGATCCCATGTTTCCTCATCTTAAAATCGATGGGGATTATGCTAGCGCAGTAGTGTTGAAAAGATGAAGACATCCTCCATGATGGTTTCCTAAGACGCAAAACTACTGCTCATTGGTAGATCCCATGTTTCATCATCTTAAAATCGAATAGAATTCAAAACTACTCATTTTTTTAAATTTCAACTGCTCAGAACGTGGTACTGTCGGGAGGAAACTACTTCAACGCCCTGAGCGATGGCCTTTACGCCGGAGAGAAGAAAGAGGCTTTGATGCAGGAAGCAATCAAGACCGCACGGGAACTGGTCGATGGAGGAAAGCGCAAGTCTTACCAAATGCAGCTGGTGGTACTTTCCGAGGCCTTTTACTTCTTCATTGTATGAACCCTCTGTGTAAGTACTTAAGAAGTGAGTGCCGGCGTCTTGTTCTTGTTCGTGTTCTTGTTGTTGTGTGGTTGGAGTGAGTAGGCCAAGGTAACAAACAAGACCAACTGATAGCATAATGTTCGAGAAGAAAGGCAATGGGGATAGTGATTATCTGAAGATGATGCTATTCTCGCCTGGTGACTAGGCAGATCGCCATCATCGTCATCAGCGTCACCCCCACTATTATCATGGCCGCCATCATCATCACCTCCATTGTCACCTTTATGGTGACTGGTAGCGAATCACAATAGGCACACACCCCGCGACTAGGCTGCAGCTGCCCTTGGCCTTTTCGTGTGTGATTATTTCCTTTTCTACATAGGTTTGAGAATGTAGATTCTGTCAGGGTATTTCTGGTGTTGTAAAAAGTGACAGACGATAAGATAAACATTTTTACATCCATTGCGACGTAAACGCCATTCACCTTTCGCCAGCATTCTACAGCAGGTTACTAGTTTTCCCCCGGTTACTAGTTTTCCCCCATGCCTCCTAGGTTAGTCCCTTCACCCCGTACTTCCCTCTTGTTTCTTCGGCGTGCACCTCGAAGAATTTTTCAGCTTCAAGCAGTACCTACCAACGCACATCTTCGACACGCTTGAAACCTTCTCTAGGGTTTCTAGCTGTAGGATAATTTCCCTAAGCGAATGCTTTTTTCACTAAACAAGTTTTACCTTTCAAGCTTTCCTGGTTCTAGCTTTCCTTGTTGCATATAGTGCTATATAGAAAAGCAAACATGGTATAAACTGTCAGACACGCTCACTCACTCATTCTTACCCAACCCATCACCATCAGCTTCACGGCCTGGTTTACGCGGCGTTGAAAGTTACGAAAAAAATAAAGTCGCCTAGTCAGAATGTCAAAACACGCGCTACGCATCAGGACAGGGAGAGCAGCCCTCTCCAGCTAGACTAGTGATCGAGTAGACCTCAGAAAACTATTGTCCTAGTGAAGACTCTTATTCTGGTAGTAGATCCGGCAAGACCCTTATTCTGGTGATGAAGTGATTGCGCCAGATAGTGATAATTCCTATCCAATGCTTACCTTAAATCTACTTATGCTACTCTACGCTACCTTCTCTATCCTATCCTCTAAGAAAGAACAAGGCCCCTGGATCTTTTCCGCGTTTCCGAGTGGAGAGAAGACAAACGATTTCCGGCTGAGTGGCGTCACGGGTACCCTTCCTTTCAAGGAGCTTGCTGATATGTGCCACGACCCAAAAGAGAAAGGGGAGCGAGAGGGCTATGGGGTTAGTGCTCCTGCGGCTCCTCAGTCTCCATCCGCTTCTTCTTCTTCTTCTTCTGCCACCGGTTCCAGCTTTGTTTCCGTCAGTCTCTCAGCCACTGGCACTCCCCAGCTTCAGCCGGACGTGGTGGAGGAAGTGAAAATTGACTTTGCGGCGCTTACGGAGCCTCAAGACCTTCTGCTGTTTGTGGACCTCGTTCGCAAGCCGGTTTGCCGCGCGGAGGATGGTGACGTTGCAGCGTGGGGGAACGTACTCTATAATGTTTTTACCTAGTATCGGATAGAGAATCAGTTTCTTGCACTTTGAGGGCCTACAAGAAGAGTGGAGTTTGTGTCAAAAGTTAGCGAGTGTTTGCTCCAGTCCTGACTATCCTATGCCGCTCGAGGCAAGCGGCATGGATGTACGTAGTGAAGACGGAGGTCTACTTGCTTTGTTTGTAGGTAGAATAATAGGTCTTCTCCGTAGTGAAGACGAAGATGAATTACCTTTCCGACAAGAAGTTTGAAACATTTGCTGCAATTGCAATTCATGAAAGCAATATGGTGGTTGCGTGACGTTGTATAGCTGGCGCTCACTGAAAATTTAAGAGGGGGCCGCGCATGAATTAGTCGATGGTGCGGTCAGTCAGTGAGCCAGTTAGACAGCTTTTCAGCCAATCAAGCGAAAAGCTCTGCTAGAAGGCCAACAAGGTGCGCTAGAAAGTGTCTAGTTGTCGAGGCGCAGCTGGGTTATCGCCTTGGGCGTTGGCCTGTGTGTTTACTTATCCTAGCAGTGAAGGCAGTGCCGCGCATATCCATTTAGGAGGCGCCAAGGCTAGCTTTCTACGGTTTCAAGCGTGCACTTGAATAGCGGCTCACGCTCTCCATTTGTTCTTTCGTACTGATGTTGGTACTGAGTGGCTGCAGCCGCCACACCCATGCCGAATGAGTGCGAAGGCATGCAGCCTCTTTTATTCGCCTCACCGTGGAATAGATTTTGGGCTACCAAGGTTGACAGGGTTACTCACCTCGCCGCCCGTTGCTTATGCCTCATTCCCGTACGATGGCCCGCCTTATCCTTTTTCTCTTAATAGGAGGATGAAAATTGAAGCAAACATCGTAGTGTCCCATCTCATCCTTTTTCTCTTATCAGAGGGATGATGCTGAAGATCCACAGAAGCTTACAGAGCAGATCTGGGAACGCTCTCGGAAAGTCCGGGATGCGTTTTTCAACAAGGGCGACCAATTTTACAACTTATGAATTAGTGCATTATAACCTAACGCAGCCTAGCCAATAACATACATTAGTCCTCCTTACAATGCGACATCCGAAGCTCCTTAGTCAGTGTTACATTTTTTTCAGTAATATCTCCATCGAAGGCACCGCTCTCATTTTTACCATAAGGCCTACTCGGAAGTATTAAAAGTGAAAGAGCCTTGCTGGGAGAAAGGTATCTAGGGATACACGCATGGTAAATGTATCTAGACTTTGGAATAGTCCCCATCGACAGGATTAGAATAGGATGAGAATAGTACCCGTGCGCACTAAAAAGTATCTGAAGTACCTAATCCATTTCAGACCACTAGGTAGTGTTGCTGTTGCCATGTGCTTTTTTGGTTTCTTGGTGTGGTAGACCCCACGACCGAGGTGGCACAACAATTAGATTCTGTCAGTTCTTGCGGATACCCACCTCCAGGGCCGTAAGTATCTGCAGTACTTGCGGCAACATTGAGAGTTGCAAGTTGGCCTCTTTACAGGCAAATCTAGGCCTATTCCGAGAAGAAAAGGCATACCTGTGCCTCTCTAGACAGGCTAACTTCCAACTCCTAATGAATGATATACCGAATTCTGGCATGCTCCTTCTGAGCGTGTCGCTTTTAGGTCAAATGCAAACCGACTATCATCATAATTATCATGATGGGCAGTTTAGTCGTTCTAGTAATTCCAGACTCTTTCTGAGAGTATAATGATGTCGTTCTAGTAATGTAGTTCCATATTCTACTTTCTTTACTTGTTCTAGTGATTGCTTTGTGTGGTTGCTTCGCGTGATTGCACCTCTCTAACCTTGAATCCTAGCAACAAGGCTGCGAAAGTGGTAAAGCAATTGGTGGACAACTTTCTGGAGAGCCCGAAGATGAAGGAAAGAGCCCAACAGATTCTGAAAAAGGCTCTTCGCCCTCGAACTCTCCTTTGCCGCGCGAAAAGCTGGCCTGCCCAAGCGCGAGGCGCTGTGCCGTCAGTTCCTGAGGATCCGGCAGTTGCTGAGGCTGAGCCAGGTACTCAGAATCGGGAAGTTCCTGAGGATGATGCAGTTGCTGAGACTCCGCAAGTTACTGAGGCTCGGCCACTTACTGAGGCTCCGCCAGCTACTCAGGATCCGCCAGCTACTCAGGATCCGGCAGATACTCAGGATCCGGCAGATACTCAGGATCCGGCAGATACTCAGGCTCAGCCAGGAACTGGGGATGTGCCACCGGCACAGGATTTTATCCAAATGACAGAGCCGGCTCAGCAGGTGGGCACCATGCCTAGTTTTCTCGCCGAACCTGAAAACAACGATGCGAGGGAAGTGGAAGTGGACAATAAAGGGAATCTGTTGGCTGGGGATTTCCTTGCTGCCCAACAACCGGAGAGCTAAGTTAAGCTGACTCACGATAACTCATTTCAATGACAGACTATTTTCTCAAGGTTCCAGGAGGACTTCTCCCGTTCATCTACGGAACTCCCCAAGATTTCTCAAGGTTCCAAGACTGAGAGCATCTTGGGGAGATCCGTAAATGAACGGAAAACTCCGCTAGAAACCTGGACACCTTAGGGTCTGATCTGTCGTGGCGTCCCTTTTAATCCCAAGGGAAACTGCGACAGGTCAAGACACGACGGATCAAGACACGACGGATCCAGAAAACTAGTACAGCGAAATGAGCTATTTTGACTTCTAATCGAAAAGGAGAAGGGAGGTGGTTTGAGGAGACTCTTCTGGAGGGGAGATAATCATCGCCCAGGAGGTGGTTTGAGGAAAGTCTTCTGGAGGGGAGATAATCATCGCCCAGGAGGTGGTTTGAGGAGAGTCTTCTGGAGGGGAGATAATCATCGCCCAGGAGGTGGTTCTAGGAGAATCTTCTAGAGGTAAAGTTCTATGATACTACGACGACGTGGGGGGCAAGACTAGAACTACTTATGGGCGTTAATTATGGGCGTTAATTCTATCTTGTATTTAGTTTCGTTCGTGTTAGGGGATGTGTTAGATTATGGCTCATCTATTTCCTTCTGGGCGAATCTAGTACGGCTGGAGACTCTTTGATCGGTCCGCTTGTGGTCGCGAGTGAAGAGTGAAGAGTGGGGACCTCGGTCTAGGTTCTTTCACGACTCACTCTTCTTCCACGACTCACTCGCGGATGTCCGCGTTTCACTAGGTATTTCTTTGATTTTTTGGGGTCTGTTAATGCTAGACGCGTGTGGAAGGATATGGTGACTTCCTCTGCATGATAAGGGAGCCCTGCATACCTTTTCGCTGTACCTTTCCACTGTACTACCTTTTAAAGGATTCCCCTTGCAAGTCACGGGGGATCTCCTCCGGGGAAGCTAGGGGGGAAAAAGTGGCAACGCACTCAACCCAGGGCGGGGCGATAATCTTCTAGTAAGAAAGCCAAGTGTCTAGCGTTAAATATGGGAGAAAAAAAGTTTCACCATGGGCATGACGAAGTTCTTGTGTGTGCATCATTCGGACGAAAAGCTGTCTGTTTTGTATATGCATCATGTGCTCTTCTTCTATCAACGGCCTCAAAAATTCCGTTAGGTAGGACGGACATTTTTCTCATATAACAAGTACCTCGCAAGATGCAAAGACCAATACCTACCTATATATGTTCCAGGGGTGCTGGAGGCCATCTCATACGGATATAATATCTATGATCTAGGTGTCGTTGTTGAGGTGAAGACCTGTCTTCAGACGAAGTCAAGGATCCTCGAGATCTCTTCTACGACACCTATGAAAATGTTAAGCTCGCGAAAGTGCTAGCTACTACAGACCGAATGATAGCTACTACAAATGCTAGCTCTTGGCACGAACAAAGATGACTTAGTTATAACTACTCCTACAATTACGACATTACTTCTCAGGGGGACGTGAGTGTGAGATGATAATGTGTGAGGAGACAAGGGGTGACAGCCAAGTAATCTAGACGCTCAACGTGTGCCAACACTAGAATGCTATTTGCTTATTTTCAGTCGCTGATGGTTGGGAAGCGCTATCAGATGCACTGGCGAGGAGGGTGATGTTGAACAAAGTGTCTCTATGATTATGAACCTTGAAAAATTGGTTCATGATCTCTTGCCGAGCTTTGTCCAGCTACTACTTCTTTCGGAAGTAGGGAACGAAGTGATCGACCAGCAAGCAGAGGGAGAAGCACTTGTTTGGTCTAGAAGTCTTTTGGTCTAGCAAGCAGAGGCAGAAGCAAGCACTTGATGCTTGGTCTGCAGCCACTTGTTTTGTCTAGAAGTCTTCGTCCTGGCAGTTTTTCTAGAGATAAGATGTGATCGGAGCATGAGAAAATATATTCAACAATTAATCATATTCCTTGATCTGAGTAATAAGTGAGATGAATCAACAACTAATATGTAAAGAAGTAAGATGTTCTTGTCGTATCTGTGAAGCCCGCTCACCCTTGATGATGTCCATAGGCGTGGATGAACCGGAAAACTGGGTACTGAGAGGTGAACGAGCCTGCACTTATTGGTGATCTTTACCTATCGGAGAAGGATAAGTTGTTGGCCTGTTCACTTATCAGCACACACATATCAGGGGTGGCACACACTTAGTATCAGGGGCACAAACTCATTGTCAGGGGCACAGCGACGAGAATAATCAATAATTATTATGAGCGCGACACGTGGGCGTCGATAGGGTCGCGCGCGAACATAAAAATAGTGGGAATAATTATAAAGAGATAGAATTAATAAGAAAAAAAAATTACGAGCTACTGCCTGCCAACGAGAGCCGCCTGTCTTCGGACCAAACTTATTTTGCAATTTACTTTCTCGCCACGCGTCGGTCGATCATAGTGCCTATATAGATCCTAGGTAGTTTCGGTCGATCATAGTAGAAGTGCCTATATAGATCCTAAATATCTAGTAGATAGTAGAAGTGCCTATATAGATCCTAAATATCTAGTAGATCCTAGGTACTAGATCATAGGTACTAGATCATGGGTACTAGATCATAGGTACTAGATCATAGGTACTAGATCATGGGTACTAGATCATGGGTACTAGATCATGGGCAGTAGGTCATAGGTAGATCACAGAGACCCGGTTCGCTCAGTCTCATAGTGTTGGCAGACGAGACATAGTGTTGATCATGAAACACAAAGACTTGGGCTTGAACTTCTTGAAACAAGCATCAAGCTCAAGGGACAGTTGGATTGACGCACTAGCTACGACAACTTAGGACTCCTACTTCTACCACGAGCCCTCTTGTTCTACAACATTATTGTATTAGGCCCTCACAAGATCTCTTTGACCTGCTCAATCTTGGGTCAAAAACAGGTAGAGGGTCCCCCATGTTTAGAGGGAGGCCATCCTGGCACTCATTTGCTTCAAGGGGAAGAAAAACAGACAGGAAGCTGGTCCGCGTCCTCTAGAGGGGAGAAAAAACGCCAGTCAAAGGTACTAGTCTTTGTTGACACCACACCTCTCCTGACACTTCTCCTCTCGGTCTCTCTAGAATGACACTAGAAGGAGGCAAGGTTGAGGAGGCAAGGTTGAGGAGGGGATGTCCTGCCTTCGTAGCAATACCTAGCCGAACTATGAATAAACCGCGTGTAGCCTGCATAGGCATGAAAAGTGTGATACTGAGTGAGATGATGATTACTAATTGGACACGATGATCCAGCTACGGACAAGAATGAGCTGAAATAATCTGAAATCATCAATCACTCACGATAGATAGTCTACTGGAGTACCAGAACTCTTCTGAAGCACCTTCAGTGAATTTTCCAGCTTTCCTCGCTTTGAGGATGATGTGGCACAGAGCAGCTATGTGTTGAAGATGAGCTAAGGACTCCTATTGAAAATTATGGTGCATATTAAGCTAATCATGATGCATAAGCTCTTCTTCTCTCATGCTGCACTATTAAGCTATGTGCTGCTGATGGGTGGACATAGAGAGGAGGCTCCGGTGCTCTGGGCTACACACTTGTCTGCCCGTTGCATCTTGTTTCACATTCTTGATATTTAAATTCTTGATAAAAAATAGTAGAGTCAGTAAGTAACTACTAGGAAATAATTGAGAATTATATATAAGTGATCATTATCAGTAGAAGTAAAAAAAAGTAATATCATATGATGAATATTGAATAGGAAGTAAATTGAATGTAAGTATGATGCATTACACTGGGGGTAGAAGTTTGTAAGATTTAATAATACAAGTAATTTGTAGTTGCATCGAAGTAAAAGCTAAAACAGTTAGTTAGAGAATTACTAAGCAGTACCGTGATAATACGTTGGAAAATATTCTTCAATGATAATAATACTAGATCTCGATGATCATGAGGATGATGATAAATTGATGATTAGAGAAGTGCCTTCACATAGTGACTCAGTCAGTTGTTAGTCGTAGGAAGAATATACTAAGAGGACAATTGCCTCACATCACCCTACAAGAAAATACTAAGAGAAGTGCCCTAAGAGAAAATACTGTAAGAGACGGGCGCAGAAATGCCTGAGTCGCGCCTGCTGGGAGAAGAGAAGTACTCGCCTTCACATGGAATATGAACTAAAAACCAGACTTTTTCTTCCACCCTCTGCGAATCTTCTTCTTGCACCTTCAGCGCATCTTTTTCTACTCTTCGAACTAACTAACTGTATTGACTTCTATCTACTGTAATGTCTGTGATGGAGGCTAGGGGGTTCTCTGACCATCTACGAAATAAGTTGATCTCTGTAACTATCTAATGTCTACTGCATGTTGATGTTGCCTCTTGCATACTTATTTATAATCTGTGCTTCTTTTTGTCCGGCGGTAGCTAGCTAGACTAAAAATTTGCTACGCAAGACGAGGTGCCATGACTAAAAATGTACCCTTCCAACCCTTAGAAGCTAACATGAGGTTCTTGCTCTTCATACTCTATGATTAGATGCGATCTTCCTGATATTCGATAGATTAGAGAGAGACGACTTTGACTTAGTTGACTCAGTTCAATCTTGAATTGAGTCAACTCGAAAATTACGTTTTTTATAGAGCAAGCATTGACGGCCTGGACGCTTCCGAAGAGACTGCTCAAAGCCACCGCTGAGAGACGCACAAAGCCACCGCAGAGGGAGCATCCTATGTATACCTTTACAGGGATTGCGACTGCGGTAGCTCTAGTGTCGAAAAGAAGCGATTGACATCATCTCAGGTATTTTTAAATCTGCAACTTGTACTTTCGACACGTGCGAGGCGGCAGGGTCGCGCGCGAACATAATAATGATAATAATACTTTTCAGATTGGTCATCTTCTAAGTGCTCTGCCTAGAAGGTTGCGTCTCAGTTTGTTGAAGCATCGCCCTTCGTATCTATACTAGGTAGTCGTCTCTCTCTCTCTCTGAGTCGTCTACTACCTAGCTTCTTAAATCTGAGTCGTCTTGAAACACTTAGAACCTCAGTCGTCTAGTACTTAGTCTTTCATTCTCAGGAGGCCCAGTCGATGCTCTGAAATCTGGCTGATGTAGGACTGTTGCATATATTCGTTGTTGCCTACATTGACTCCGAAGTGTAAAACACTGTAAACCAATTGCAGCTGGAAGGAGGTGCTGTGGCAGCGCAGTAGTTGATGTAAAAACTTGAACAGCGTTGTATGATAGTATTGGAGCATATTCTGAATTGTGTACGAGATATTGATCCTGTAACAAAGACGACGTTCGCTGCTGATGACGTCAAAAAAACATTATGCTCTGATGAATGGATGATCTAGAAAATAAATCGAGAATTATAGTTAAAAAAACAAAAAATGGAGAATAATTAGAAGGCAGGTTATGGTATGGCAGTGCTCGCAAAAAAAACAAAAAAAATCGGCAGCAGCTGAAACGGCTGCTCCGCTCGCTCCTCGGGTGTAAGTAGAGTAGGTCTATGACCTCAACATTGCGACTGTAGATAAGTGAACGTCGTCTCTCTCTCTCTGCCGCCATCATGAACGATGGCAACAGGGACTAGAGCATGCCTCTTCACTTTTCCGCATGTTGAGGTCTGCTCATACTTCTTACACTCGTAGGACCCTCGCTCTGTTCCGTTTCAGCAACAGAGGTTATGCAAAGAGTGTTCTACCCACCATAAATCGAAAAATTTGTAATTGCCATGTCGGAGAGAAGTTGTCAACACGAAGACAGAGATGACCAAAAAAGTCAACACGAAGTTCGAGCTTGACTTGGTTGATTGAGGATCGATCCAGCGTCTCACAATCTTCGATCCAGTCGTCGCGACATCGTTGCAAAAGGGCCTACAGCTTGAAGAGAGAGAGAGACGAAAAAGAAGCTCGAATCTCTCGTCTTCATCTCATTAGTACTCGTCTTCATCTGAATTAGTACTCGTACCTCTACCATCGTGCAAAAAGGATGATACTTCTGTCGTCTTTTAAGTTCGTAGCGCTATGTAGGTAAAGGCTGTGCTCTCCTTACCATCTTTGCGTCTGTGAAGTGCTGTTGTACCCCTAGAATGGGTTTACTACTACTACTACGACTACTGTTTTGACCTTTCTTGCTTGCTTACCTTTGCTTTGCTTGCGTCGAACACTTCGAAAAGTTTGGAATTGTAACTGTACCATCGTGCAAAAAGGATTGTGCGACTCCATCTCAGTACGATCCAACAAAAGAAACGCCTTACCACCTTTGTGTCTGCTCATCTTCGTCCACTCAAATGCTTTAGGACTATCTCGTAGCTGTTCTGTCTTGTACAGAATTACAACCTTTTTACGACTACTTACTACTTCCCTGATGTCTGTCTCCGATATGTTTGTTCCAGATATCGAATCTAGCATTCTAGCACCAAGTAGTACTTTGTGGTTCCTAAGTGCCGGTGGGCCTAACACTCCTAAATAGAGTAGTATTGAAAGCTACTTTCCTAAGAAAGTGGCCCTAAAAGTGGTCCTCTACCTATTACTTTGTTCAAGAATAAAGTAAGTCTCAACAGTCCTATTATCTGGCGTTGCACATCACTACTTTATTCCTAAGTAGTCCTCACGCCCCTATACGGTATACCTACGTCCTCGCACTCCTATTCCTACAACCTACTATTCCTAAGTCCGAAACAAGTTGTAACGCTCCTATACCTGCAACCTACTATTCCTAAGTCCGAAACAAGTTGTAACGCTCCTATACCTGCAACCTACTATTCCTAAGTCCGAAAGTTGTAACGCTCCTATTCCTACAACCTACTATTCCTAAGTCCCAACAACAAGATGGACGGGCAGTATCAGAATGGGTATGGGGAGCGCCCTTCCCAGGTGCACGCCGGAGGCGGTGGCAACGATATGCAACTGCAGTCGACCTTTTTCACAGGAGGTGTTGCCCCTGACGGCGCAGGCAATGAGATGCAACGTCGGTCGTTAAGGGGGCTACAGTATACATAGCTGTGAAGCAAGAGGTGTATCAACTTTACATTATTAAGAGGGTGGGACGAAGCTCCATAAAAAGCAAGCTCCTTCCATTAAACTGTCAGATCCTACACTGATCACAGGGAATATCTTCGTAATAATGTGAATATCACGACCTGTTTCAGGAATACTCCTGCTTAGGTCTGTTTTTTGTCTCCTCACGTAGGGATAATAGTCCCAAACCGCCTAGTTTAGAGTAGAGAAGTGGACGCCGACACAGATGGGGAAGGTGATGGATTGTAGTGCGTTCTAATGACGCAGTCGACAGTTGCGGGAGGTGTTGCGGAACCGGAAATGGGGCGAACGTCGGTTAAGAAAAGGAATTGACTACTTTTTATCTGGTTCTGTCTCGTCTGGTTCTCGTACTTATATGGTTACTAGACGTAAAAAGTCGGTGTGAAAAAAGTACTTATGTGGTTACTAGACGTCAAAAGTCAGTGTGAAAAAAGTACTTATTTGGTTACTACACGGCATTCAAGAAAGATATCCTCTGTTGCTGTAGAGAAGGTAAGTTACTAAGGGGATTTCTGATGAGTTACTAAGTATCATTCACTCCTGTAATCAACTAAGGGGGTCCCTGAATGATTTTCGCGAAGTGTTGGCATGAATAAGTAACACCGAGTCGTGACGCTCTAATCAATCGGCTTCTGCGGTCGGCTCGCAGAATGGCGCTGCTTTCATTTAAGAGAGTCTCAAAAAGACAGGCACTCTCTCTAGAGAGAAAGACAGGCTTGCTTGTTAGAGAGTACAAGTGTACAAGTACACAGGAGGGTTTCTCACTAGAGATTACAAGTACACAGGAGGTTTTCTTCCTCTGGGAGGTTTTCTTCCTATCGTATTATAATTTGTTTTCAGTAGCATTTTGAAAACAGTAGCATTGCGTCCCTTTCAACAATAGGAGTTGTAGACAACTACAGGATTTCTTATTCATCTGTACTTGCAGCAGGTCCGTGCCCTCTTTAGCTCCCTATATATAAGAGTAATAATTCTCCGCGTGAGGCGTGTGAACCAAAGAGGGAGATATTCCCTTGAGTTAGAGGCCAAGCATGCGCAACATTTACACGATTGGATCCTTCTAAAGCATTCTAGGGGACGCGGATGGAGCCCCTGTTGCGCCTATGGTTAAGGCACCGCGAAAATGAACAAATAGGATATAAAACCTTCTAGACTATAGTGTTGAGTTCGTTGCAAAACTCCTCGATGGACACCTCAGAAGTCACTGTGATTCACTGACTGACTGACTGACTGACTGGCTGACTCGGTAGTCTTTGACGTAATTCACTGAATATTGACCCACACGGTGTGTACTGGTGAGGGAGAAGCTGTCTAATCCTGAAGATACAGATGACGACGATGACGGCACGATTTTGTCCGTCCCCAAGTGGCTGTTTTTATGGCAATAGTCCAACGTGCCGTCTCCTCATGTAACTTCCTCTTGGTATTCTACAACACGTCGTGGTCCTCCTCTTCTGCATCTATGTAAGTCGGCTCTTCCGCCTGCTACTTCAGGGGGACCCATTCCTATCCTATCATATCCTATGTAAAACCCATGGAAGAACTTCATCTACTTATGTAAAAGAACGAACAACGGCGCCTTTTTTCATATCCTTGGTGCGTTCTGGTGTTGATGGTCACGGCGATGATTTTGCTGATAACCTTGTTGTCTCTCGAATGCTGCGGATCATCCGAGAAAGCCAATTATGTTGAGAGAAATTCACGGGCTTTCGGCTTTCCGTCATCGGGATAAAGTTTCCTTAGCTAGTCCGTATTTGGGTTGAAGTAAGTATCTTTAAGTAGTCCGTAGTTGGGATGAAACAACAGTTGCAGCGCCTCTAGAGTAGGCACAAGCATCATCACCATCACCACCACCACCATCATGATCACCATCATCATGATCACCATCATCATGATCACCATCATCATGATCACCATCATCATGATCACCATCATCATGATCACCATCATCATGATCACCATCACCATGATCACCATCACCATCACCACCATCACCACCATCACCATCACCATCACCATCACCATCACCATCATCCTCCCCAGTGGGTGCGCCTCTCGTCCGCAGTTCGGCTTGCCTGAGGATCTTGATCTACTTGTCTCAATCTTTTCTATCTTGTTCTCTATACTCCGTGACTTATGATCCACTCGTGTCCTATCAAAATCAAATCCATCGGAGCTAAATGACATGACAAGGATACTATCACACCGTGTGACAGTATTTTTGCTATCATATCAGTGTCATGACAGCAATGTTGATCAACATAAGACGCAGAGAAGTTAGCGGCGTGACGCCAAAGAGTTGCCACCTTGTTCACCTTTCTTAATACAGTTACAGAGAATTAAAACACGCGGATGCAATGAGAAAAGCCGACCTCCATATCCTATTCTATTGTTGTTGTAGCCTATTCTAAGTATCCTATTCTCGAAAATGACGATTAGCCTATTCTAAGTATCCTATTCTGTACTGTTCTATCCTATTGCCCTATCCTATCTTGAGTATTGCTGTACGCTTACTTATTCTATCTCCTGTGTATCTTGTCGGGTACGTTGTGCCACCCTATCCTATCCTACCCTATCCAGCCTGATGGCGTCAGTCTTCAATGATGCAATTATCCACCTAGCTAGCATATCCCGTCCTACCTCATGGCGTCACTCTTGAAGAGCCATGGCAATTATGAGTCTCTTTGTCCTCTAAGAAAAAAAAAAATCTGGAGTGGGGGAGCGAGCGGCATTAAGAGGGAGGGGCCAACTATTAGGAGGAGCTGACCCACGGCATGGGGAGCTCGCTACTGCAACAGGCGGGGGAGGTCTTAAGGCTCATATTCATCCTACGTTCATCTCTCCAATCAAAGGCTGTAAGAAAAAGAATGAGATCGTTTTCCCACAACTTGCTGGTGAAGGTGGAGAAAACTGTAAAGCAACTCATACATACATCAAGCGGGAAACAGCTGTCAGTTATTATTAATTTTCGTTACAACGTAGCGGACAAAAAAAGATTGTTGTCTGCTATGAGGTCTGCGATGCTTGGAGAAGCCCATCTCAATATCAAAGACCATCTCTCAGGGAGTATTTTTCCAACTAGTAGAACTAATTGGGACACCACGATGGTGATTTTATTTGGTTTCTTTTCGCTTCCTATGTAAGCGGGCTCCGCCACTAATGTTTAACCACGTACGTCGTAGTACATGGTCACTTAATAAATCTGGGCTACAGCACTAATACTCATAAAAGGAGAATATCTATCAAATTTCACGTGTTTTTACCATCTCGTAACACAGCTGACATGTCCTAGACTAACCTCCTTACCTAAAGACCTACTTATAATGTATATCCTAACCTCACCTAACCTATTATGTATGACCTAACCTTACCTACATCCCTGAGGCATTTTCGAGAAGTGAGCCCC